AGGCTGAAAGGTAGGCACCAAACGGTTGGGTAAGTTGTAAATGCAAAGGAAAAGTTCTTGAGGGAAATTAAAAGTTCTACTCCAGTGAACACATGAATGATAAGAAAGTGAAACAGCCTTATTGACGATATGGCGAAAGTTTGAGCGGTCTCCATTGATAGTCAAACAAGCTACAACATTGCCTTAAGCCAGAGCCCGATCCAGAGCAAGGCCCTACCTCTATTCAATTCTGTGAAGGCTGAGAGAGGGGAGGAAGCTGCAGAAGAAAAGCTGGAAGGCAAAAGAGCAGTAACGCAGGAGGTTTAAGGAAAGGAGCTGTCCTTGTACCATTAAAGTGCAAGGTGAAGCAGCAGGTGCCGAGGGAGCAGCTGCAGCAAGTTATCCAGAAGATCTGGCTAAGATGACTGATGAAGGCGGCTACACTAAGTAAGGTACTTTCCATGTGGATGAAACAGCCTTCTGTTGGAAGAAGATACCGTCTAGGACTTTCATAGCTAGAGAGGGGAAGGCAATGCCTGGTTTCAAAGCTTCAAATGACAGGTTGACTCTCTTGTTAGGGGCCAATGCAGCTGGTGACTTTAAGTTGAAGCCAATGCTGATTTACCATTCTGAAAATTCTAGGGCGCTTAAGAATGATGCTAAATCTACTCTACCGGTGCTCCATAAATGGAACAATTAAGCCTAGATGCAGTACATCGGTTTACAGCATGGTTTGCTGACACTTTAAACCCACTGTGGAGACCTATTGCTCAGAAAAAAGATTCCCTTGAAAATATTACTGCTTATTGACAATGCGTCTGGTTACCCAAGGGCTCTGATAGAGTACCAGGAGATTAATGTTGTTTTCATGCCTGCTAACACAACCATTCTGCAGCCCATGAATCAAGGAGTAATTTCAACTTTCAGGTCTTATTATTTAAGAAACACATTTCACAGGCATCAGCTTCCATAGACAGTGATTCCTCTGATGGATTTAGACAAAATAAATTGAAAACCTTCTGGAAAAGATCCTCTGTTCTAAATGCCATTCAATACATTTTTGATTCATGGGAGGAGGCCAACATATCAACATTACAGGAGTTTGGAAGAAGTGGATTCCAACCCTCGTGGATGACCTTAAGTAGTTCAAGACTACAGTGCAGGAAGGAACTGAAGATGTGGTAGAAATAGCAAGAGAAGTAGAGTTAGAAGTGGAGCCCAAACACGTGACTGCATTGCTGCAATCTCATGATTCAACCTGAATGGATGAGAAGTTGCTTTCTTATGGATGATCAAAGAAGGTGGTTTCTTGAGATGAGATCTACTCCCGTGAAGATGCTGTGAATATTGTTGCAATGACAACAAAAGATGTAGACTATTCCATAAACTTCGTCAATAAAGCAGCAGCAGGGTTTGAGAGGATTGATTCCAATTTTGAAAGAAGTTCTACTGCGGGCAGAATGGTACCCAACAGCATCACATGGTGCAGAGAAATCTTTCTTCCAAACTCCTGTTGACATTTCATCTTGCTTGGTGATGATGATGATGATGGTGGTGGTGATGATGAGGATGGCGATGGTGGTATTGAATTATGGTGATGACAGAGGAGAAAGAAAAAGACCAGGGGCAGAGGAGGGACCAACACAAGAGAAGAATGAAAAGGAGGGAAAAAGGGAAAAACCAACCGGAAGCTACGGTGTGCTAGGCACTTTACATTCATCAGCTCATTCAAGTCTTTTAATTATGCCATGAGACATACAGTAGCCATCCCCATCTGAATTTTATGATGGAGCAAACAGAGGTCAATGTTGTGACTTGTCGGAGGTCTCCCAACATGCAATGGTAGAGCCAACATTTGAACATTCAGCTCTGAAGATTTCTTCATTTCTGTCTCAGGGACATCCCTCCTCTCCAGGTTGCTCACTCTGCAGGGACGTGGCCTCATTCTTGCATACTTCCATAGGCTGGAAGCTTATTCCTTCAAAAGGCAGGCTGGATTATTAGAAAATTATTTATATTGAGCCTACATTTCCTTTCTAGTTGCTTTGAGCCCCATTCCTGGATTTCCCCTTCAAGACACAGAATAAATGTACATTTCTTCAAAGCCAACGTGCATCTCTTTCTGAGTTCTCCCCTCTTCTGACATTGACTATGCTCGTCTGACTCTGCTGTCTTCTAGTACCAGTCCAAAATTATGCTTTGGGAGTTGCTGCAAGGTTTGTAGCCTATTTCTTTGGAAGTCCCCAGAGTGTGCTGGTTATTAAGCTGTCATATCATAAAGCCCTCAATTCACTTCGCCTGTTCAGCTCCCAGTCTAAGGCTGGGATTCTGCAAACCCATTTCCACACTGCCAGCTGCCTCCTGGACCGGTCACTTACATATTCTTTGCCTTCACTTCCTCATCTGTAAAGTGGAAATTGAATGAGTACACATCTCGCTGGGTATTTTATCTGAAAAGCCCCTGGAGCAGTGCTGAGCATACGATTTTGTTCTGCAACCTTAACCTGCCTGATCTTTCAAATGGGGAGGACTATTGAGGCTTGCTTAGTACACGGCACAGTTGTGTGGAACCAGTCACAGACCTGTGATTTGGCTTTCTATCTGTGTATCTCCACTGTCTTCCTCCTCAGACCCTATCATCCCTGCCCTGAGCTCACCCTCAGCCCAATGACCAGTTTCTAGTCTTGCCCAGCTGCAACCTCTCTTCCCTTTAGCACCCATGGTGTTCTTATAAAACACAAACCTCACCCAGTTCAGATCCTTCCCATACCTCTCCTGGCCTGCCTGATCAAGTTCAGACACCATGGCTTGACTTATAAGGCCTCTCTGGTCCAACTGCTGCTGACCTCCCAGCCTCTCCTCTCCTGTTTCTCCCCTTCTCCTTCATCTTGAGCCAAACGTAGCAACTCCTGGGTCCCTAAGCCTTGCTTGACTTTGTGCTGTACCTGCTTTGCGTCTGATTCCCCAAGGCCTAGCACTGTGCCTGGCAGCCATCCGAGGCTCTGCAAACCTTGGCTGGTGTGTGCTCCAAATGGGATGATGCGGAGAAGCGGATGCTCTGTAAGCCACTGCTGCATCGATGGCAGTTTACGCCATTATTTTTTCCAGGGGTCAAAGCGATTGTCTGATCCAAGAGCAGTGTCCAGGTGGCCCCCAGATGTGCTAAGCATTAACCATTTAGGTGCTGGATGTGAGGAGGTTCTGGGTGTGCCTGGGGGGGAGGGGTGACACCGGCGCTAGGGGTGGGGGGGGCAGTGTATGGAACCAAGTGCTACAGATGCATGTCCACATTGTAACAACTGGTACAGCTCCAGCATTCTCTCCAGAAAGTGCTTTCTTTCCCTGGGGTCCCATTCCTTCCCTTCTCTCCCCAGCTTCCCCAGGCATTGCCTTGTTGCTCTGTCGACCACCCCAGCACAGCCCTCTCAGAAGGCTTTTATTTTGAAGCCTGCACAGGGGCTCTGGTGACCTGTTTTCCCCAGAGTTTGCCCACAGGGCTTGGAAAGCCTCCCTGACCACATGGCACTGTGAACACCAATCTGGCCTGGTTCTTTTTGCCTAAAGATCCCTTACCCCAGGCCCCCACTCTCAAGATGGGGACATGGAACGTGGAGCCCATGGCACACACTAAACGAACAACATTGAATGGCATGTAAAATAATGGTTCACCACCTGACACCATCCGCATGAGCTTGCAGACTGGCTTAGCCTTTGAGAGGACAGGTTTAGGATTGACAGCCCTTGGGCAGATGGGAGCCGGGTGACCTTGCACCGGGGGTCCTCATCCGTCAGGTAGGATGATCGTCTCCAAGCAGGAAATCCCCTCTCCTATGTGGCTGTTGCTTCCTGTTTTTCATGGCACCCAGTGGGTTAGCTTGTTGGTTGCCCACCAGGTCCATGGAAAGCCATCTTTGAATATGTGACAAAGTTGGAAATGTCTGCAAGGGAAGCAGCAGAAAGTGGTTGAGGTGACCCTTCTATGTGGGGACTCACTCTACAAGGGTGTATTCGTGTGAATACAGGCCTGGGTGCGGCGCAGTGGGGTTGGCAGAGCCACCTGCCCCAGGGATTTCAGCTGGGAAAGGAGAGGAATGAGGCTGGAGTCAGGATGGAGCACAGCTGGGTGAGAGCGATATGGACCCATTTTCTTAGCCACTGCAAGGCCTGGAGGGATGGGATGTGTGGGGTTTGTTATATCCAGGAAAGGCCTTCCCAGAGTTGGCATGGATGACAAACCTCAGGACCAATGACGAGACCAGGTGCACCACTGCTGCAATTATTCAGGCAGGAGAGGAGGGAAGTGTGAATTGAAGCCCAGGCTGAAGGGATGGGGGAGGGGCAGTTGGAGGGTCCTTAAGGAGGTGAAATACATTCCTGACAGATTGGCTGTGGCAGGTGAAGGAGACAAGGAGGCCAAGGTGACTCCAGATTTCTGGCTTCCGTAAATGGTGGAGACAGAGCTCAGGAGGAAGAGCCGCTGTGGAAGGAAAGGAACCACCGGCTTGGAGGGGCTGGTGGGACACTGGGGGGAGGAAGGGGGTCCAGGAGGCAGCTGGGACACATGGCCTGGTGCCCAGGGAGTGACTGCAGAGTCTTCCATGTGCAGATGGTAACAGAGTGCTCAGGAGTAAAGAAACCCCCACCCAGAGCGTGTGTAGGGGAGAAGGCGGCTGAGGATGGAGAGGCACCTGGGAGGAGTCCCAGTCTCAGAGGAGAAGGTGTGGGAGCAAGTGGCGCAGGGGTTGGGGGAGCAGAGGCAGCATTGCCGGCGTTAGGTAATAGCAGAAGCCTGAGCTGCAGAAGGACCCCAGGTGAGGGCTGGGGATAGGGGCACACTGAGGGCTGCAGGCTGATAGGGGTACACTGAGGGCTGTGGGCTGAGGATAGGGGTACACTGAGGGCCGCGGGCTGGGGATAGGGGTACACTGAGGGCTGTGGCTCAGAGGCCACAGCTGGGAGCAGGTGGCCAAAGAGCCAGGAGCTGAAAAGACAGTTTCAGAACTACCAGGACTGCGTGTTACAAAGCTCTCTGGTTCCTGGCTGTGCAATTCTGAGAGAGTGGCGAACCCTGGGCAGTTGCGCCACACTGTGGGCATGAGAGAGGGAAAGCTCTCTCCTTAACGTAGAGGGCGGAGCTCACGAGATGCGTTTATTTCAGTCACCTGGGCCCTGGCCTCACTTGGCAGGAGGGGAACGCCTGAGACAGGAAGCCACTGCTACTGTGAGTCTACCCACTTGCTTTGTCTTCTTCACTCTCGGCCTCCATCCTCCCCTCCTTTTCTCCCTCACTCCCTCCCACAAGTGCTTATTGGTCCTGTTTTGGACACCGGTGATTCGTAGATGAATGTGACATGGTTCTTGCGCCCAAACGTGCCCATGGTGTGGAATCTTTAGCAGGAGGGGGTGAGAAGGGAAGATGCTGACAGAGGCTGGAATTAAGGTGACATCTCTAGCCGGGGAGGGTGCTGACCTCAGTCTTCAAGGGAAGTCTTTGCTCAGTTTTGAATCTCAGGTGATGCAAGGAATCAAATGGGTGAAGAAAAGCCATAAAATCATAGAGACGGGAGGAAAATGGGGAGAACGCATCAGGAAAAGTCAAGTTGATGTACAGGATGATGAGCAGGCAGAGGAAGGGAGGAAGACATGGTGCCCAGGCTGGAGGGAGGGAGAGCGAAGGGCTTCAGAGTGCTGTAGTGCAGAGGAGGGAGGAGAGGGCTTGTGGAAAGGGGAGGTTGGCATTCCTTTGTAGTTCATATTTGGAGGCATGACTAATTTTTGAATATGGCCTCATGCAGATGCTGGTCAGCCTGAAGCCACTGCTTTCCTGCTGGCTGTAGATTTTTCCCCTTTTGACACCTTTAGGAAAGTCAAATTCTAACATGTCTGTGCTGGGCAAACCTGAGCCAGAGGAGCCCTCCTTTCCTGGGGCAGTTTCAAAGGCAGTGGCGTCACAGCAGCAGCAGGAATTGGAGGTAGACCCTCAGGGAGCATGGGACCCTCGGGCAGCTGTTCTGCCGCACCCCTCACCCAGGATTCACATTCCTGAGTGCTTGTTATCTCTCTATGTGAACTGTTGCAAGGGAGTCTCTTTGCTGTTAACTCTGGTGCAGTGTCCACACAGACCTGCTTGCGTTTATAAATAAAGTTTTATTGGAAGATAGTTATGCACATTCAACTATTTATTGTTTTTGGCTGCTTTTGGGCTGTGACAGCAGAATTCAGCACTTGTGACAGAGACAACTCCCTGCAAAGCCTAAAATATTTACTATCTGGCCCTTTATAGAAAATGTGGGAAGTAGAAAAGTTCATCTTTAAAGTTTCCTATCTTGTTAAAGAATAAATCGTGTGCTATTAACTCTTTGTTAAGCCCTATGTAGCCGACAGACATGCCATGCTTACAGGCACATAGTATATTCTATGTCCTTGTACTTTAACCAAGATATCTGTGCTCACAGGCATGTCCTAGCTTGCAGCCTATGCCCCTTACCTGTTTAGAAAAGTTTTAAGTTGTTAGCCAATCGGGTTTAGTTTAGATTGTGAAGTCTGGCTCCAATCAACAAAGATTAGACACAGCAGTAAGGACAACCCCAAATGCATAAGGGATAAATATGTCTGCTTTTTCTTTGCTCATTGTACTCTTGTGGCAAGATGGCTAGCGAGGGTACCCTTCCTGCAGTGCAGGAAGTAAAAAAGTAAAAACTGCTTTGCTAAGATATCCTTTGTCTCAGTGCTAATTTTCTTTGGGGCACCGAGCATCTGTTTCCAACAGAAAACATTTGTCAGCTGAGTGTGGTGGCTCACACCTGTAATCCCAGAACTTTAGGAGGCTGAAGAGGGTGGATTGCGTGAGGCCAGGAGTTCAAGACCAGCCTGGCCAACATGGTAAAACCCCGTCTCTACTAAAAATACAAAAATTAGCCTGGCATATAGCAGGTGCCTGTAATCTCAGCTACTCAGGAGGCTGAGGTATGAGAATTGCTTGAACCCTGGAGATGGAGGTTGCAGTGAGCTGAGATTGTGCTATTGCACTCCAGCCTGGGTGACAGAGAGAGGCTCCATCAAAAAAAAAAAAAAAAAAAAAAGGAAGGAAAGAAAGAAAATATGACAATCCCTGCTCCAGTGGGTTGGGGTACAGGTTCAGCTGCTATAACAAGCATCAATGAATCAGCTGCTTAAACACAAACACAACAGAAATTTCTTTCTTCCTGAACAATCTGAACAGAAGCAGGATCAGAGATCCAAGCTGTTTTGTTGCTTAACTATTCTCCATAGTTGGCCTCTCCAGCCAGCTGGAAGGGAAGATGGGAAATGGAAGATATACCTTCTTTCTTTAAGGGCACAGCCTGATGGTGTGCCCATGGCTTCCCTTCGCATTCCATCGGCCAGCACCTGGTCACATGGTCACAGGTAGCTGCCAGGTAGGTTGGGAAATGTTCTCTTTAGCTGGATGGCCATGATACAGCCACAACTCAGGGACTTTATCACGAAAGGAAAAAGAAGAGAGTGGATTGTATGGGATATTAGCAGTCTCTGCTGCACCTGATCGAGAAGAACAAAGACAGAGTGCAGAAGAGAAGGATTTGGGGTTCCCTGCAGGGTTTGGGAGAAAGTCTGTCACATGCTCAAATGAAGTAGGTGTCAATAACTGATATAAAATACCTCCTTCTTCCACTTCCTCCCCCAAATATTAAGCCCTTATTTATATTAGGCTCCATTTGGGTGCATTTTGCAGGTAAATAACCTGAGGTTCGGGGTGCCTGGGTGAGCTGTTTGAGTTCACAGCCAGAGAGTGAGAGCTCTTCCTGCCTGACTGCCCTGCTTCCCTTGGGACACCCTGGAGCTGGGCGCGGGGTCTTGCTGCCTGCTAGGCTGGCTGGGTTTGGCGACACAGAAAGCACACAAGTTATTTTGCAAGTGAGAATTCTATAGAGGAGACTGCTTGAACGGATTTTGGATGACTGAAAGGGGAAAGGAGACACTGAGGTAACCAGAGACAGAAACTTCAGGAAGCAGCCATCACTCCTGTGGCCATGGGAACGGAGGGGAAGAGAGTGGGGTTGCCTCAGGCTGGAAGGTTAGAGCTGGCGGGAGGAGCTGGGACTCAGTACTGCAGACCTCTGAGGAAGGGATGGGGTGAGACTAGCTCTGGAAATGTTTAAAAAATGGCAAACTAGAATCAGCTGCTGCTGGGCCAAGATGGCTTCCAGGGCAGGGCAGTCAAATTCAAAGGAGCAAGCCCCTCCCTCCTCTCCATCCTTCCAGTCTCCCTCCAGCGCCTCCTCCTGGCCGAGAGCGGCAGAAATCAGCCGGCAAAGTAGAAAGAGTTTGGAGTCCCAGCTCTGGCCCCATAAAGCAGAGGGTAGAAAAAAGGTTTGGAGCTGGGAGAAAATCGTTTAATAACCATCCCAGAGGCTGCGACTCATTTAGACTCCCAGTCTGTACAGACCTGGAGCCATTGCCTCTGAGCCAGTGCACACTGGGTACCTTGGAGCCTCTGTCTCCTGATACATGGGTTGCTGGGAATGCAAAATTGTTTGACTGCTTGGAAAACGGTTTTCACCCCGTCCCCCCTGTTTTTTTGAGACGGTGTCTTGCTTTGTCGCCCAGGCTGGAGTGCAGTGGCGTGATCTCAGCTCACCTCAATCTCTGTCTCCCGGTTTCAAGCGATCCTCCAGCCTCAGCCTCCCGAGTAGTTGGGATTACAGGCGCCCACCACCACGCCTGGCTATTTTTGTATTTTTAGTAGAGACGGAGTTTCACCATGTTGGCCAGGCTGGTCTTGAATTCCTGATATAAGATGATCCACCTGCCATGGCCTTCCAAAGTGCTGGGATTACAGGCGTGAGCCCCCACGCCCGGGCCTGGAAAACAGTTTTCCTATAAAGTTATATATGCATCTGCCATATGACCCAGCATCTCTCTCTCTCTTATCCAAGAGAAATGAAGCCACATGCTCACTCAAACATTTATGCTTGATGTTTGTAGCCCCGTGGTTTTAACAGCCTAGAAATAAAACCTGGAAAGCAAACTGGGGAGAAAAAAACCCACTTAATGTTCATGAACATGTGCATGGAAAGCAACTTACGTTATATCCATACAAAATACTACTATAAAATACTACATATAGAAAATACCACTTGACAATAAAAAGAATGAATACTTACGTACATATCAACATTGATGAATTTCAACAGCGTTATACTATGTGAAATAAAACAGGCACAAAATATCACATACTCTGTGGTTTTGTCCGAAATTTCTGAAATGGCAAAATAGCATGATAGAAAGTGGATTAGTCATTGCCAGGGCTTGGGGGCAGGGGAAAGAGATTGGCTGCAAAGGGTCCTGAGGGATCTTTTGAGAGAATGGAAATGTCCTATATAATGATTATGGTGTTGGTTACACAATTGTTGAAACCCATGGAATTGTATACTGTAAATTGGTAAATTTTATTGTGTGTAAATTGTATCTTGATAAAGCTGAATTTTTTAAAAATATTTTATTTGGGCTCTGGGGTACATGTGCACATCCTGCATCCTGCAGGACTGTTGCATAGGTACATACATGCCATGGTGGTTTGCTGTCTCCACCACCCTCCTCCCCGCTCCCCCTTTCCCTCCCCCCATCACCTACATCAGGCATTTCTCCCGGTGTTATCCCTCCCAATCCTTCCTGGCCCCCACCGCTGTCCCTCCCCCCCCCACACCTAGCTCTGTGAGTGTTGTTCCCTTCCCTGTGCCCAAGTGTTCTCATTGTTCATCACCCACCTATGACTGAAAACATGCGGTGTCTGGTTTTCTGTTCTTGTGTCAGTTTGCTGAGAATGATGGTTTCTAGGTTCATCCATGTCTCTACAAAGGACATGAACTCATCATTTTTTATGGCTGCATAATATTCCATGGTATATATGTGCCACATTTTTTTGTCCAGTCTTATCATCGATGAGCATTTGGGTTGGTTCCAGGTCTTTGCTATTGTAAACAGCACTGCGGTGAACATAGGTGTGCATGTGTCTTTATGATAGAACAATTTATAATCCTTTGGGTGTATACCCAGTAATGGGATTGCTGGGTCAAATGGAATTTCTATTTCTAGATCCTTGAGGAATTGCCACACAGTCTTCCATAATGGTTGAACTAATTTATATTCTCACCAACAGTGTAAATGTGTTTTTTCTCCACATCTTCTCCAGCATCTGTTGTCTCCAGATATTTTAATGATCGCCATTCTCACTGGCGTGAGATGGTATCTCAATGTGGTTTTGATTTGCATTTCTCTAATTACCAATGATGATGAACATTTTTTCATATGTTTGTTGGCTGCATATTTGTCTTCTTTTGAAAAGTGCCTGTTCATATCCTTTGCCCACTTTTCAATGGGTTTGTTTGTTTTTTTCTTGTAATTCTGCTTTAGTTCTTTGTAGATTCTGGATATTAGCCCTTTGATGGGTAGATTGCAAAATTTTTCCCCTTTCTGTTTGTTGCCAGTTTACTCTAATGATTGTTTCTTTTGCTATGCAGAAGCTCTTAAGTTTAATTAGAGTCCCATTTGTCTATTTCTTAAGAAGCTCTTAAGTTTAATTAGGTCCCATTTGTCTATTTTGGCTTTTGTTCCCATTGCTTTTGGTATTTTAGTCATGAAGTCCTGGCCTGTGCCTATGTCTTGAATGGTTTTGCCTAGATTTTCTCCTAGGGTTTTTATGGCATTATTTCTTATGTTTAAATCTTTAATCCATCTGGAGTTAATTTTTGTATAAGGTGTAAGGAAGGGGTCCAGTTTCAGCTTCCTGCATATGGCTAGCCAGTTTTCCCAACACCATTTATTAAACAGGGAATCCTTTCCCCATTGCTTGTTTTTGTCTGGTTTGTCAAAGATCAGATGGTTGTAGATGGGTAGTGTTGCTTCCAAGGCCTCTGTTCTGTTCCATTGGTCTATACGTCTATTTTGGTACCAGTACCATGCTGTTTTGATTACTGTAGCCTTGTAGTATAGTTTGAAGTCAGGTAGTGTGATGCCTCCAGCATTGTTCTTTTTGCTTAGGATTGTCTTGGCTATGTGGGCCCTCTTATGGTTCCATATGAAATTTAAAGTGGTTTTTCCCAGTTCTGTGAAGAAGGTCAATGGTAGCTTGATGGGGATAGCATTGAATCTATAAATTACTTTGGGCAGTATGGCCATTTTCACAATATTGATTCTTCCTAACCATGAGCATGGAATGTTTTTCCATCTGTTTGTGTCCTCTCTCATTTCCTTGATCGGTGGTTTGTAGTTCTCCTTGAAGAGATCTTTTACCTCCTTTGTTCGTTGTATTCCTAGGTATTTTATTCTCTTTGTAGCAATTGTAAATGGGAGCTCACTCATGAGTTGGCTGTTTGTATATTATTGGTGTATAGGAATGCTTGTGATTTTTGCACATTGATTTTCTGTTTTTTTTTTTTTTTTTTTTTTTTTTTTT